AAAATAGGACAGCTGAACATGAATTGAGAAATCGACTCAACACTTAGCTTTATATAATTCCGATTCGACTTTTAATAGCTTTTGATCCTCATTTTCGTGAGCATTTTTACCCCACTTAGAGGTCAATAAAGAAGATAATATCTAAATGAAAGTTGTAGTATGATATGCGATGAAACTACCAGTTTTCGAATTATCTCATTTGGATTATCCATCTATCTTATACGAATTTTATAAAACAGTTGATCAATCATAAATACAGTGCAAACAGCTCAGAAAACACATTGTTTCGAGCCACTTAGATTCATAACTGGATTTTCGACCCTTCATGACAGTTGTAGTATACATTAAGAAATTTCTAACTGCAAAATACAAGCTTATTCCGACTTATGATTTGTAGGTTATAAACTGTCAAAGTACGGACCTGCATAGTCGATAAAATCCGATTCCGCAATTCCCGACTAACTTTTATAATCCAAATTCCATGATTCGCTACATTTACGTGCTAAAAACATTCTTCAATATACTAAACAGTAAAACAAATCCAATGGTCGCAAACCTAAGCTTAATCATGCATTTTTACTCTTTTCGGCGTTATATCGAACAATTGGTGTGCGGTTAAACATATACACCAAATCTAACCATAATGAAACCATAATCCACCCTTTTAATTTTTACATCAATTTAACCAATCCTAACATTGTAAACATGAAATATATCATACTTTTAACAGTATCAATCCGTAAACTTAGACATAACATAATTTATAAACCAGTCTAAAAAAATCTAAAACATCCTAATAAAAGTTAATGAAATTTATACCTTTATAAAGGGTTCAAATAGTGAATTCCGAATATATAATTGTTGCTTTGATTCCTTGAACGATTTAAGAAATAATTTAGAGAAAAGAAAAATGAGAGAGAGAAAGGAAGAGATGAGAGGCGGTGAAAAGAAGAGCGAATAAATGATTTGCATTTTTTTTAATCTTTCTCATATATATATATATATATATATATATATAATATTATAATTATAATAAGTTTAGTAATTTGAGGGTTTCAATCCTTTAACAATTATCGATCATTATTTAAGTACGGTACAATTTGGGTAAGTTAATGAAATTTTTTTAAAACTCGGGTCTTACACTTACCAGTATTAATATTTTGTATTATTTATTAAATAAAGATAATCTGTCAATTTGAAAGTTTATTTATAGTCATCTTTTCCTTAAGAATTTTTTTATTTCATTTTTCTAATAACAAAAGAAATCAATATTTTTTTTCAATTTATAAATCTTTCTAGATTTATTAACAATATAATTGTGATATTTTCCAGATTTTGACTATATTATTTTGTTTCATTTGTAAAATTCATGAATAAGTTGATTTCCTTACAAATTTTATTAATGAAATCATGTTATCTAGTTTTCAAAATGTTTCATTCATAAAACTATTTTCATTTTGGTTAGCCATGAAACCAATTTCATTAATGAAATCATATTATCGAGTTTTCAAAATATTCCACTAACTGAATCATATTTAATTTCATTAATAAACTCAATTTTATTTTGGTTAGAAACCATGAAACCAATTTCATCTTGGTTATAAACCATAAAACCAATTTCATCTTGGTTATAAAACATGAAACCAATTTCACTAATTAAATCATATCATCCAGTTTTCAAAATGTTTTATTCATGAAACCAATTTCATTAATGAAACCAATTTCACTAATGAAATAATGTTATTCAGTTTTCAAAAAATGTTCCATTGACTGAACCATATCTAGTTTCATTAATAAATCAAATTTCATTTTAATTAGGATTCATTAATCCAATTTCACTAATCAAATCATGTTATTCAATTTAAAAAAAAAAATCATTTATGAAACCAATTTCACTAATGAAGTAATGTTATTCAGTTTTTCAAAACGTTTCATTCTTTATTGTTGATTAAAGAATTTTGGTATGCTTCATTATTTATTAAAATATCCCTCTTTTTATAGTTTATAGGTAACTCTATTTTTAATGTGGGATTTATTTAATTCTACTATTTACTCATAAAACAAAGAAATTTTTTTATTGAATTTATGATTTTCCAGATTTTCCTAACATTTTTTTTGTTAAAACTATTCTAATAATCAAAATCATATATATATATATATATATATATATGGAGAGAGAGATTTTCTAAAGCTATTATTTTGTTTAATTAATGTTGATATCCATGATTTTGTTCTCTCATTTACCAATTTATACAAACAATTTGGATTGAGATAGTTGTAGGTTGCATAAATGACGTATCATTTCATCTTGAGATTTCAATGAGTTGAAACTTTTAATGCGATTAATGCAATTGAACGGGATAATGCGAGGAAAGAAGATTGAATACGGGGAAAGAGTATTTCAATGAGTTGGAACTTTTAAAACTTTTCCAGTTTTACCCTTTTTTGGATAAAATAATAATAATTTTATTTTTTATGTTTTTTTGCTTTACTAAAATAACTACTTTTAATAAAAGTCTTTGATCATGAAAATGGATGTATGAGATTGATTTGTACAAAAGGAAGCTTTGTATTTGATCGTTCATCTCTATATATATATATATATATATATATATATATATATATGTTATATTATAAAACATTTGACAAAAACTCTTAAAAACCATTTTTTATGCATGAAATATTGTTTATTGATGCACATTACTTAAAATTCAAGATTACAAGTAACTACGCACAACTACAACTTATTAAACTTCCATGTTTGAATTCGTGTAACTAACTGCAGATAAATATAATCAAATATAGAATAAACATCTCATTTTAAATATAGAAAATCTAAAATTTAATTATGATAATCATTGAGTTATAACAAAATACTTAATTATATTTATAAAAAATTATATTATTAAATCAAAAATAAAAAAATAAATTAAAGAAATACCGAAAAAATGAGAAATTTTAAATAGTTAGTTTGATACTAATATCAATATTTTTTTTCAATTTTTTTGATATTTCATGTTTATACTTTATTCAAAACTTAAAAACATTATCGTTTTCTCAAAACCACAAAAAACTATACTATAACATCGACTGAGACAAAATAAATAAATAAAATGATACATCAAAACCAAAATTTATCTCAATGTATTGTACGAATACCCTTCTGATATATTTATTATAAGTTTGAAGTTTTAATTAAGAATGGCGTATTGGGTGGGAGTTAAGTTGGCGACAATCTGGTCGACGTATTTGGAGGATTGGCGCAACAAAAGTGGTGGAGGTGGTGGGATGTTTTTCATCAAGGTTGGATCTGGACTTGGACCACCTTTCATATTTTTTTTATAAATTAGTTAAAATATACACAAAACAAACTTTTATATTTTTATTTTTTTTTATATTATATTATAAAATATTTGACAAAAACTCTTAAAAATCATTTTTTATATATAAAATATTGTTTATTGATGCATATTACTTAAAATTCCATATCACAAGTAAATTGTGTGTAACTACAACTTATTAAAGCTTAAATTTTGAATTTGTGTAACTAAAAATAGATAAACATAATCGAATACAGGATAAACACCTCATTTTGAATATAAAAAATCTAAAATATAATAAGTATAATCATTAATTATAATAAAATATCTAATTATTATCTTTATAAAAATTATATTATTAAACGATAAATAAATTATTTCGTTATTAATTCTAAATTAAATTGTAATAAAATATTGAATTAAAATTATATTCAAAAATAAAAACATTATCGATTTCTCAAAACCACTAAAATCTGTATTATATCGACAAAGATAAATAATAAAACGAAACATTAAAATTGAGATATATACTTACCATATTATGCGAGCACCCTTCTAATATATATATATATATATATATATATATATATGAGGTTTACTTTTGCAAACCACGTTATTTGTACAAACCGTACGTACCTCATTCAACCAATCAAAATTTTTTATTTTGTTCATTTTTTTTCAAATTATGAGAGACTGATTAATCATTCTTATTGTGCAGGGTGTTAATCATGGATATTATCATATTCGTTATATTAATTTTAAAGAAATACATTAAACAGTTTTCTTAAAATTTCATAAGTATTATATGAAACAACTTAATCAAAAAAAAAAATATCATATGAAACAATTTCATAGAATTAAACAATAAAATCGACGAATTATGGTGGTTTACACGATTTGGAAAAATAACGTGGTTTGCATTTGATCACTTATATATATATATATATATATATATATATATATATAGGTTGGTTATTATACAACCCTTGTCATTTGTGCAACCAATACAACTCAATCTCAACCGTCCATTTCATTTGATTAATATGTGATTTAATAGAATTTTTGATTGTTTCCTAATATAAAGTATTGATCATAATTAATAAACCATATTCGTCTTCCATAAATATTCAAATCATAATAAATAAACTCCCATTATTTCTATAAATATCTCAATTAATTGGGTTGCATTGGTTGTACAAATGGACTTGGTTGTATTTGAAATATACTATATATATATATATATATATATATAGGGTTGGGTTCACATGAGACCAAGGGTTTTTCGTGAGACCCGTAAGACCAATTTATGTTCATTGATCAAATTTATGAATTAATGATCTAATGGTTGCAAAGTTGCAAGGTGGCAATTTCGTAATTAGTAAGAAGTCTCATGGCGTTTATAAATGTTCAGATCTGACGATTGTAAATCTAATCCAAGGGTTGAGAATTGGTCTTACGAGTCTCACGAAAAACCATTGGTCTCACATGATCCCAAGTCTATATATATATATATATATATATATAGATTGATGATTTAAATTTAAATTTATTTTATTTTTTTGGTTTTGATTTGATTGAATATACCTTCCACGATCCAGTTACATTAAAATTTAATGCTTAGCTAAATTTGTTCCTATATATCCCCCCACATCTATTTGTTTAAGTACATGTATTCTGAAAATGGATTCATCAACTGATGATATCGTCAAAGAAATCCCTGGTGTAATTCGAGTATACAAAAATGGCCGAGTCCAAAAACTCCTCGCTACCGATGTTGTTCCCGCCGGTCTCGATCCTTCCTCCGGCGTTCAATCCAAAGACGTCTTATTGTCATCCGATAAAACTCTCTCCGCTAGGCTTTACATTCCCAAATCCACGAATGTCGTTACTAGAAAACTCCCTCTTCTTATCTACTACCACGGCGGCGCATTCATCGTCGCCACCGTCGCTTCCCGCATCTACCACAACTTTTTAAACCTCATCGCAGCGGAATCCAATGTGGTCATAGTTTCTGTTGACTACCGAACGGCGCCGGAGCATCCCGTCCCCACCTGCTTTCAAGATTCCTGGGAAGCAATCAAGTGGGTGGAGCAACATGTTAACCAAAATGGTCCCGAGCAATGGCTTAACAAATACTCTGATCTCGGTCGTGTATTCTTCGGCGGCGACAGTGCGGGTGCCAATATCGCCCATCACATGGGCATCCGGATTGGGACTGAAAATCGGAGCGGAACTCCGAACTCTGGTTTTTCAAGAATCATGTAAACTGGATAAGCATCAATACTTTCTAAGTCTTGATCAGGTCTCTTCAAATTGATGATTCTTTGATTATCTTCAAGACCCATCTGAACATCAATAACCATAGCCAACTTTACATGACTCCGCATATATCTTTTAATTGCATCAAGAGCAACCAGAGCTCCATCTTTCCTGTTGGTCATGTTTCGGATCTCACAATACGAGGCTCTGTGAAGACTGGATACCAGACTCTGAACCTCCAGACTTTCCCATCTTGTCGAGTCACAGTGAAGACTGGATACCAGACTCTGAGAAGTCTTTGAGCATCTATCTATTTGATTGTCACAACCTGATGTTTGGTACGTACTTCACTAACAGGCAGACGCTTGGCTTTCAGAAAGTGCTTGTACTCCAAGCGATAATCTTTGGTTTCCCGATGGATAGCAAGAATTTTATCACCACTCAGAACCTTACGATGTCGGAGGAAGATTCCAAAGTAGATGTCTTCAAGGTACGGCTCTCAGATCCTTGCCCTATCATACCCTGGAACATTTTCTCGAATGACGAATGGCACATAATTTCTTGTAAATATCTCTGTAGGATCAAAAGGCTCTCTAGGAGCAGGAATATCAGATGCACCAGCTACAGCTGCAGTGGAGGATTCTGGCACTGTCTGACGATCACCTTGAAACGGGAATAGTGGGTCTTCCTCATTAATATCTGCTTCAAAGTCAAAGTATAACCCGGTTGACTCGTCAATGTTCTCAATATCCTCTCCAAAATCTTGCTCTCCACCCAGCACAGTAGCAAACACGTCATTGAACCCGACATTGGCAGACAAGTCCAATAACAACCTTGTTCCTACTGTGGAGTCCGCCGGCTTTTCAACCATTGGCTCGATCGTAGGACTTGTCTCCATTTCTTCCTCATCTTCTACAACAATTGCCTCGATGATTCTTTCCCGTGTAGACTCCGGGGCAGAACCTTCAACATTCTGTTAGGACTGAAAAATCAGTATTAATTGTATTCGTCTTGAAAGATTAATTTTAGTCTATAATTGTAAAGTCAGCGTGTTTGACTTTCTTAGACTAGTTTGACTTTGACTTTGTTAGTTAGGTTGACCATATAAATATGATTTAATCTTTGTAATTAGGTAGAAGGGAGCTAATTGTAATATTCAGATTAGTAATAAGAGGTTTGACTGAATTGAGAGGATTGACTTTCTCTCTCAATATTCATAAAGTGTTCTTGAATGTTTATCTTGAATCTGCCATTGATGTGAGCTTAATATGAAGATTGATCAGTGATTGTGGACACACAATTGGTATCAAAGCGGGATGCAAGAAATCAGATTGAAGGAATCGATCAGATAAGTTTTTTTTTATTTCTGGATTTTTTTTGTTCTTCGTGTTCTTCGTGTTCTTGAGTTTTTCTTTGATTTTGATCCGATTTTTTCATAAAATCTTGTGTTTTTGGGTTAAAAATATGATCAAAATGCTCGAAATCGCATTGTGAATCTTTGTTATTCACAAACTTTTACGATTTGATCAATTTTAATCAAGATTTGATCGGGTTTTTAGGTTTTTAAATTTTTTGTGTTCTTGAATTTTTTGTGTAAATCAGTGTTTTTGATCCATTTTTTTTGTTAGATTTTTTTTTGTTTTATGTTTTTGATAGTTTTAATCCGGTTTTATTTTTAGTTGTGTTGAATTTCTTGTTAGATTGCACAACATGTTCAAGGCCCAACCAGAAAATTTTGGCCCAATAACATTGATCGGATAAGAGTCCGCTCATAATCTCCATCTTCATCGTTTTGGACTTTACATTGCACACCATTCAAGCTTCACAGATTCGACCAAGTACAAACCGCACACCATTCAAGCGGTAATTGAGCGGAGAAAGGTTAAACCGCACGCTACTTGATCGGATTCCTTGACCGGAGAGGTAAACCGATCAATTTCAGGTAAGGTTTAATTTTTTGAGCGGTGTTCATCCTATATTCATCTATACCGGACACGCTTTGATCGGTATTCATCTACACCGGTCACTACTTGACCGGATTAAAGTTCTGATTCATTCAGCAGGTAAGCCATCACAAGCGGTTTATGACTTAGATTTTGTGCATCGAAGTTTTTGAGCGGATTTCTAATCCGCTTGATTTTTTTAGATTTCAATTTCAAGTTAGGTGAGCGATTTAACTTCTGAGTTGAGCGATTTCAGACTCTGTTTCACTGTATACATTTCTAATATGAGGTATGTTACCTGTCTCTTTCTCGCTCATCACAGGTATGTTAATTTTTTTTAATTGTTAATTGGCTGGATTGAATACATTGTACACAAAATTAGTTGTTTCAAAGCTTAAGACTTGTTTGGTTGACCAAAGACACAGGTTGACATGTTGCTGTTTAAACTTCACTAAATCACCTGGATTTTACTCAAGTTTAATTCATAACTCGCACAAGTTTAAGCAGGTTCTGTTATGTACATCTGCAGCAGATTGTTGTTGCCATAGCATATTGTTTTAAAACAGTGCAAAAGCTAAAACCGAAACAGGTGCTGTGTGTGTTGTGTTTAGACAGTAACAAAAACAGGTAGCAGCAAAGTTTTTTTTGAAACAAAACAACAGCAGCTGGTTACTGTTTTGACAGCAACAACCGGATTTCAATAGCAGTGTGCAGGTTTAAGCAACAAGCTGTTGTAATTTGTTTAAGTTCTGTGTTGGTGTGGAGAAGACGAAAGCAGCTGTTTTGAGCTGATTTGGTGCAGTGAGTGAAGGTTTGTCTTGCTCAGGTTCTTAAGTGTTTACATTTTGACAGCAACTTCACAGCATTGCAACAGCAGGTTTGTGATTAAGTGTGTAGCAGCAAGCATAAAGGAGAAAGCAAGCAGCAGCAGAACTAAAATAGCAGCAACATAGTTTATATACATGTTGTCATCATGTTGACAGGTTCTTTGTAAACAGCAGGATACAGTTTTATGTGCAGATTTCTGTTTTAAAAAGCAACAGAGATTTGACGCAGTGTGTTCTGTTTTTGGTTGATAAGCAGCAGTGTTGGTTAAAAAAAAAAGAACATTTTGTGTTGATAAGCATATTTGATTTGTTCTAGCACTGCATATTATTTGACAGCTTCATTTTGTGTTCTTGACAGCAACTTAATCATTTTTGACAGCTTCATTTCTGTTTTGACAGCAAAGAACAGCAGCAGCAGCAACAGCAGGATCTGTTTTATCAACAAGTCTAAAACAAGTCTAAAACTAAGTTGTGTTTGAAACAGCAAGCATACAGCAGTTCACAGTAACAGCAGCAACAGGTGTCTTGATTTTTTGATTTTTGACAGCAAAGAAAACAACAGCAGCTGCAGCAATTCACAATTGGTTATCAAAATTGGTTTACGCAGCAACTAGCATTGCTTTGCTGTCATAAGTAACAGCAGGAAGTGCATTGACAGATTTATATCTGTGGTTGCGATTTTGTGAACTAAAACAGCAACCAGATATTGACAGGTTATGAACACAGCTTTGCTATTTGAGCATTGTGCAGTAAAACAGCATTGTGCAGTGAAACAACATTGTGCAGTGGCAAGTTTAGCATTGTACAGCAAGAAGAAAGAAAACAGCAAAGGTCTGTTTGACCATTGATAAACAGCAGCTGTTTATAGTTTCAAAAGAGTTTAAAAGTTGTGCATTTGAGGATTGGAACAACAGTAATCTACCTGTGTGGAAATTTTCTTGCCATTTGAAGCTATCTGGTTATTTTGTACAGGTGACTCTGAGTTTTGTAAACTAGTTTTGAGCAGAATAGTTCAACAGCAATAAGAACACAACAGCTGTCTATTGTATCTTGAACTGTTTCACATTTTGCAGATCTGTTCATGATTTTTGACAGCAACAGAGTTAACAACTTTTTGTTTCTGTCTTGATTTGAAACAGCAAGCTTTACAGTTGTTTGTTCTTGCTGTTAGAGATTGTGTAAAGCCCAGGTGACAGATTTGATAACAGCAGCTAAATAGTTCAGGTTTAGTAGCAGCAAAATAGCAACTGTGGACATTCTCAAGCTACACAGTGAACTGTTTTGTTTTTAGCATATTTGGTTATTGTATCTTGTTTCATATTTGGTAACAGCAGAATTCATACAAAATTTCTGGTTTGTGCAGGATCTTACACAGTTCTGATTGCTGGTTTGAGTTTGAGGTTTAAGCAGCAGCTCCATAGCTCCACAGATTTTGAAGCATATCAGAACAAGTCACCGCAGCTCGTGTGAAGCAACTGATAAGCGGATATTCGTGGCTTTTTGAATACACTTCAGAGAGCAGATAGAATATTGTTTTAAAAGTTTCATAGCATTCAAGTGTATTGTTTGACTTGTATTAGCTTGTTTTTGGACTTGACTTGGATCGGTATGATTTGGACTTAGACTCATATTTTTGGACTTGGATATTTTTTTTGGACTGTTTATAGTTTCTTAGGATTGTTTGTGTTTAGAATTTTCTTTGGATCATTGTACATTTGTGTGTGCGTGAGTTTTTCAGTGTTTGTGTTTTTCGGTTTCTTTTTGAGCTTAACTGTTCGTATTTTTTTTGTCTGATTTCACTGCATAGATCCTTAACTGATCATTTTCTTCTAATGGCAGATATTCTTTTGAAAGAGAATCAAGAATTGTGAGCAAAGTATGTTGAGCTGGAAAAGAATTTTAAACTTCAGAATTATGTTAATGTGAAATGTAATGAAACTTTGCATCGAGATTATAAATCAAAGATAGAAAAAGTTAAGGATGAATCCAAATATGAGTTAGATAAACTTAATAAATCCTTGGATAATATCACAGTAGAATTTGACAAAGAAAGAAAATCAAGGAGTCAATCTTATAAAGATTTGCACAACAAACTCCAGAAAGTTCAATTTGAACTAATTGCTGAGAGGAATTCTCCAAGGAACAATTCAGATACAAAGGACTTAACTGACAAGTTCCACAAGACTGAGAATGAGCTGAATGAGTTAAGGAGATTATTGATATTAGAAAAGGAAAA